AGCTATATAATATATATGTATATATAATATTTATAATATAACTTAAAATAATATTAATATACAATGAATAATAATACAATAATAATAATAAAATATAATATATTATTGATGAGATTTGACATTTGATGAAAAGTAAAATTCTTACAAATTTCAATGCATTCAATCTCATTCAACACCCCTACTAAGGGGTGCCATTAGCACACCTCTATTAAGGGGTGCCATTAGCATTCTCCGGAAATAATTCTTGAATTTTTCCAAAATAAAGATATTAAAAGTCGTTTTTTTAAAATAAATTACATTTAACTCTAAAGAGTTTTTCTATTTTTAAGATTTCAAATTAACTTTTACACAGATTTATACTATATTATAAAGCATTTAACAAAAACTCTTAAAAATCATTTTTTATGCATGAAGTACTGTATGTTGATGCATATTACTTAAAATTCAAGATTACAAAAATTATACATAAATACAACTTATTAAAGCTCCATGTTTGAATTCGTTTAACTAACGGCGGATAAACATACTCAAATAGAGAATAAAGATCTAATTTTAAAATATAAAAAATCTAAAAATATAATTAGAATAATTATCGAGTTATAATAAAGTAATTAATTGTTATCTTTATAAGAAAATTATATTATTAAACTAAATATAAATTATTTCGTTATTGAACCTAAATTAAATTATAATAAAAAATGAATTAAAAAATTACACAAAAAATAGGAATTTTAAATAGTTAATTTGATACTAATATCGATATATTTTTGTCAAAATTTTATAATATCTTCAAGTTTATAATTTATTTAAAAATAAAAATATCACCGTATTTTCAAAATCACATAAGACCATACTATAACATCGACTGAGATGAATAATAAAATAAAATATTAAAATCAAGATATATTTCGCTACATTACGCGAGTACCCTTCTAGTTTATATAAAATGGTAATTTCTAATGAATTATGAACAAAAATAAAAACGGAAATTTGACCATAAATAATCTTTCTAGTTTAATGACGATTTAGTATACATTTTACACTCGGTCATGAAATGAAATTAATTTGTATCGAGATTTGTCTTTGATCTATCATTATCTAGGTGACATTGTAGAATAACTACAGGTTGCACGAGACGAAGGTTGACTTGTCTTGTTGGTGACGGTGAAAGAGCTAAATTGATTAATCTCTCGTTTCATTGCCTTGTAAACATGGTCTAACCCTTCCTCGATAAGTTCCAAAACAGATTGTGGCATCGGTGGCTCGTTTATCTCTACCGAACCTTCCAGCATCATAACCACCTCGCTCATCGAAGGTCGCATGCTCACATCGTCTTGTATGCACCAAAACCCTACTTTCAATGCTCTCAAAACCTCGTTTTCTTCCACCGCCCCTTCTAGCCGTCTATCGGCCACCTTCATCGCATCTCCATTTTGCATTCCCTGCAAAAAAAGTAGTTCATCACTTAGCCAAACCAAACGTACGTAATGGATCCCACGGAGGCACACACAAACAGGGGATGAGGAAAGATAGTATGTATGCAGACCCTACATTTGACCAGAGGGGTAGAGAGGTTATTTCATAACAAATATTTAGGATAAAACAACAAAGTACATTAATGTTGTATTTCTTGTACCTTAAAAGCCCATCCGGGGAAGAAGAAATCATCTGCGTCGAAGCTCATATCAAGGTTTCTCCGACCACCAACTATCTCTAACAAGAGCATTCCGTAACTATAAACATCAGCTTTTACCGTTACAGGACGATTACTGATCCATTCGGGAGCCAGGTAACCTCTAGTTCCACGAACCATGGTCACAACTTGCGAATGCTCCCTCCCCATCAACTTAGCCAATCCAAAATCCGAAACTTTTGGACAAAAGTTTTCATCCAAAAGAATGTTCTCCGGCTTGATATCACAATGGATTATCCTATTTCGGCATTGCTCATGAAAGTACGCAATCCCTTGTGCGGTACCAACTGCTATTTGAAACCGAGTCGGCCACTCCAATAACCTCTCGCGAGTTTTATGCGAGGGAAATAACCATTTGTCTAAGGATCCATTTTTCATGAACTCGTACACCAAAAGCCTGCATTTTCCGACAACATTCGCATTTAAACTCAACACACAACTTATTTATTCAACACGCCAACAAACAATAATCAGATCATACCTTTGTGAACCTTCAGAGCAATACCCGCATAAGCGAACTAGATTCATGTGATGCATTGAACCAATAGTATTCACTTCTGTTACAAATTCGCGTTCTCCATGTGGCAACATCCGGTCAAGTTTTTTCACTGCGATTAACGTCCCATCTCCTAAACTTCCCTTGTACACGCTCCCAAATCCACCTAAACAGTACGACAATTAGAGAATTTTCGACAATCAGAGAAACTTATGAAAATGTAATGTAACGTAAGATACCTGTTCCGAGGAGCTCTGAAAAATGATTCGTCCGGTTTTGTAGATCGCGAAAGTTAAAACTAACAGGGGCTCCTGAGACAATTAGTGAACTGTTGAGGGCTCTTTTTAAACTTCTCCTTTTATGAACATAGATGTACAATAGAGAACATAGAAGTCCAATTAGAACAAACATGCTCAATACAATGGGAAGAACCAAAACCTTCGCACGAGTGCTGCTACTCATTCCGGTATGGTTTTTCAAATCGCGGCTAAAAGATCCGTTCGATTGAACCTTAACGAACATGGTCGAACCCGAATCCTCGAACCCACCAAACTGCAAGTTCCTTAGAACCCAACAATATGGAGTCTCTTGGTTTAACCCGTAAACAGAAGCAACACATTCGCAGTCGGATAAACAAGCATCGCCACACTTGGAAACCGTCGGAATATCACTGTAATTTGCTATCACTGCTGATTCTTGAAAATAGTAGTTTGTTTGGTTAACTGTTTGGATTTTGAAGTTGGAAGTCCGGTTCTCATGGGAAACTGGAACCCTGCAATTTCCGGTGAACGATGAGTTCATCATACACCGGAAATCTTTCCCGTCGGTTGAAGAACCCGGCAAGCAATCGCAAGAAGCATTTGTTTTGGTTCTATCCAAATTACATATCCCGTTTCCACAAACTCCGGTGATGTCACACGGGTTTGAAACGGCGGCCCATTCCGGCACCCACTGCCGGGATCCATTAACGTCGTTGTCCCAACGGTATAACCGGAGATTACCGTTAGTTTCTAGAATTAGTCGCCGGAGAACTAACGGTCTGTTTGTTTTATTACTAGCAGCTGATAATTCGCCTTTGTCGTTATCATTTTTGTAAACGTACACAGCTCCGATGGAATCTCCACCGTAAACCACCCCGAAACTTCCGGCTTGGTCCAGCACCGCCACAACGTCGCCGGTGACGTTAGAGAATTCAGGTGTTGCCCAGTATGAATAATTAGATTGAGCTTCCATTGATAAGTTGTAAGGATCTGCAGGTAGGTTATACGTTAAGGCTAGGGTTAGTGAAGTGGGTTCTTGTAGCATTTTCAAAGTGTAATAACCGCCAGCGAGAGAAGGTAGCCACGACGAAGTCAACTCCGTGGAGATAGTCAACGGTTGGCCGGGCAAGAGGGTGTCCGATGGGTGAGCGAAGCTTTGCCATGCTACGTTTTGATCGCTGGTATATAAAACTAGGTTGCCGTTTTCTAGTAACTCGGCGGATTCAACGTCGGCGCCGGTGGTGTTTGAGGTCCATGCGGTGGTTTTGCCGTCGGTCAGCACGAGATTTCCGGTTGTGTCGAGCTCCAGAATTGCGTCTTTTGTGACCGGAGAGTTTCTAACGAAATAAAATGGTATCATTATAATTAGTCAAAAAAATGTAACGAAATTTGGGAGGAAATTAATAGAAATAAATATTTTTAGAAATCAAATTCATTTTTTTAGCATTTTTGTTTGAATTTTTCAAAAATATCAATATCTTCATAATTGACACCTCCGTCACAGTTGACACATCCATACTTTTGAGGGAGCTAAAACATAAAAAATTGTCCTAATTTTTTTTTGCTAAAAATGACTAAAAATATTTTATAAACTTATTGTAACACTTTTAAATATTACACACTTTATAACTTGGTCATGCAAATTAAAATATTGTAAAATATTTTATTATGACACTCTAACACATTTTCAACCTTCTATATACTTGATTCAATGGTAATGACTCTAGGAAACTAGAAACTAATATAGTAATGGACTTACACATATGCAGACCAAGCCATAGTACGATCTCCAGGAAGATCAGCAAACCAAATTCCCAATTGGTATCGATCATCTTGTAAACCCGAATCCGTTGGAGCAAACCCGAATGCAAATGTGTTGTTATTAGAAGCCCACACTTGATTATCATTAGCATATAATCTTGAACCTAGACCAACCCGACCCGAGATGCATACAACCACCTCAAGCAAAAGTGTGAATAGCAAACCCCAAGTGGTCGAACAATAAAAAGCCATTTACAAAAGAGTCTGAATGCTTCTTAATTTTGTTTAAAGAAGAAGATATATAGAAGAAAAATGGGTAGATTGGTGAATACGTGGCTAGGGGTGGGTGAGCTACATTTTGAAAAAAGGGTGGGTGGTCGGCTTGCGGTTCTGGCCATTGAGAGGGATTTGGGGATTTGAGGGCACGTGGTTAGCCGCAGAAGGTTTGAACATGGGACCCTGGGTATGGGTCAAGGGCTGATATATCGTGGTTGGTTATACTCACACGTTTCTTTCTTCTTTTTAATGGCTATGAGCCTAAATTTTCTAAGGTTCACACTTTAAGAATGAACCAACCACTTGAATTATGGCTACTTATACCACATTGTCTTAGGTGCATGGGTCCATCTTAGGGACCTTCAATGATTAGGCTTTCCACGTTTGAAACTAAAATTCAATTTTTGTTTTTTTTCTGTAAATAATAAAATTAATAATTAAATGGGTTCGAGTTTTGCAGGTATGTGTCCGGATCTTTCGAGCCTGTTTTCAATTAGCAAGGAAAAAACGTTCAAGCTTTTTAAGTCTGGGCAGGACTTTGGAGTTGAAGATTTTTCAGACGAGACATTTTTTTGGTTTTTCAAACTTAACTAGACTTTTCCAAAATTTTCAGCCCCAACCTGTCTGCAATATTTTGGACTGATCAGCAGAGACGGACACATAATATTTTTGAGTGATGACACAATTTAACTATAAAAATATATTTAATATAATAATAACATAGATATGTTAGTTGGTTCGTTGTCTCTCCGTAAAAGAGACCCATATTTGAGTCTTGGCTACATATCTTTCTTAAAAACACATCAAGTTTTAGGCTAAAAGTTAACAAATATGACACCAGTGGGACTCGAACCCATGCCTTTATTTTACATCATATTTAACTCTAATTCACTATAACCCAACATGAAATCATGCATCATTTTAGTGTTGGTAAACAGTATAACACCAAAATTTGTGTTATATTATTTATGAACACCAATTTGGTTGAGGTATTTTTATTACAAAAGGTCACTCAAATTTGATATTTATGTTTTTAGGGGTTATTTAGCAAACGCTTATTCGAGTAAGCGCTTACTGAGTCATATTGCCTTATTAGATGAACATGGTAACGACAAAAAACTTACCCGGTAAGAACGAATCAAAGACCAAGAGTCTTACCCGGTAAGTGAAGCCGATGATTCTTACAACGGTTAGTGCTTACCCGATGAATTGTTGCATACGATGTCATTTTGTTAGACTAAAATCTTACCTGATAAGTAAATGATGGTGTTGAATTTTACCGATAAACGCTTATCGAGTAAGCGTTTACTAAACGGCCCTTAATTTAACTGTATTATATTATTTATCAATATTATATATTAAATTATATTAATTTATGATATTGTATAGAACTTATTCAAAAAGTCAATAATATACCTGTTTTTTTATGTATTTTATTGTGTAACTTTTATTTAATAAATAATAACCGGTTTGAAAATTAGTAATTTACGAATATAGGGTTTTTAATTTATTTTGGTTATAATTTATAATATCTATATTATATTATAAAATATTTGATAAAAACTTTTAAAAACCAATTTTTATGCACGAAGTACTGTTTATTGATGCATGTTACTTAAAATTCAAGATTACAAGTAAATTGTATATAAGTACAACTTATTAAAACTCTATGTTTGATTTCTAGCGGGAATCGAACCCGCATCGTTAGCTTGGAAGGCTAGGGGTTATAGTCGACGTCGATTGTGTAACTAATTGCGGATAAACATAATCAAATAGAGGATAAACATATCATTTTAAAATATGAAAATCTAAAATATAATTAGGATAGTTATTGAGTCTAACAGAATACTTAATTATTATCTTTATAAAAAATATATTATTAAACCTAAATTAATTAAGTTACTTCATCACGATAAATTAAATTATAATAAAAAATTTGAATTAAAAAAAATACACAAATAAAAATATTTAAATAGTTAATTTGATACTAATATTAATATATTTTGTGCAAATTTTATATGATATTTCCAAATTTATATTTTATTCGAAGAAAAAAACATTATCATTTTCTCAAAATCACATAAAATCGTATTATATCGACATAGTTAAAAAAAATAAAACGAAACATTGAAATTGAAACGTGTCTCGACTTATTGCACGAGTACCCTTCTAGTTATATATTATACAGTTATTACAAAAAGAAATACTTTATGGGTTAAATTTGTAAACAACTAATGAGGGTGTGATTAATTACACAGGTATAGTTTTTGAACCATCCCTCACAGAGCCGTCGCTAATTAGCAACGAAAAAAATCCGTCATTGATAGCCGTCGCTGTCGCTGATACTCTGTTTTCTAGTAATGAAATGATGAACAATTTTGAGATAAATTACCATTTATTCCAAATTTCATACGATTTTAATGTAATAAATGGTGCAAATGGTCTAACTCCATAAATAATTTAATGTTAAGTATGAGACTAAGGGGCCGTTTACCCAAATACTTACCCGGTAAGCGCTTATTAGTAGGAGTCTAACACTATAATCTTTTTACCAGATAAGATTGTAGTATATTAAAACGGTATCGTATGCAATAATTTACCCGGTAAACGCTTACCTGAATAAGAGTCCTCACCATCACTTACCGGGTAAGACCCTCCATTCTTATCATCGCTCTTACCGGATAAGATTTTTACCCCTTGCCATGTTCATCAGGTAAGGAAAATTGTCCAGTAAGTACTTACCGGATAAGCGTTTAATAAACAACCTATAAAACAATAATAAATTACAAGCTACGTGAATAAAAACAATAATTTTAAAAACATATGAATTAAATAGTAATTTTTAACAAATCATATGAACGAAAAACGTGATTTACACTAACACACACACATATATATATATATATATATGTATGATTGGGTTCACGTGAGACCAAAGGTTTTTCGTGAGACCCGTAAGACCAATTCTCAACCCTTAGATTAGATTTACAATCGTTAGATATGAACATTCATAAACACCACGAGACTTCTCAATAATTACAAAATTGTCACCTTGCAACTTTAGACCATTAGATCATTGGCTTAAAAAGTTGATCAATGAACATAAATTGGTCTTACGGGTCTCACGAAAAACTCTTGGTCTCACGTGAACCCAATCATATATATATATGGCTGTAAATGAACCGAACGTTCAACGAACTGTTCGTGAACCGTTCGGCAGAAAATTCGTTTATTTAATAAATGAATGAACATGAACAATTTTTTTTATTCGTTTAGTTAAACGAACGAACATGAACAAGAGTCTCGTTCGTTCATTTATGTTCGTGAACGTTCGTTCATTTACCGTTCGTTTACGTTCGTTTATATTCGTTCGTTTATGTTCGTTTATATATTAAATTTAATATATAATCTTTTGTTTATATACTTTGAATTCAAATAATATTTATTTATGTTTGTTTAGCCCGTTCGTTTATGTTCGTTTAGTCTGTTCGTTTATGTTCGTTCGTTTACGTTTGTTTAACATGTTAACGAACGAACATAAATGAACACAAACATACCTGATTTCTAAACGAACGAACATGAACACAAAGATTTTCGTTCGTTTACCGTTCGTGTTCGTTAGTTTGTTCGGTTAAGTTAAACGAACGAACAGAAATAAACCTCCGTTCGTGTTCGTTCGGTTCGTTTACAGCCCTATATATATATATATATATATATATATATATATATAATAATAATAATATGTCATTACCATGATGACAAGTAGGGGCATTAAAACTAATACCAACAAATATTTATGTCAACCATGTTTTTGTTGAAGTGTCCTTTCTTGATAGAGTTTAGATCATGACATTTTCTAGCCACAAAGAACCCAACAATATTTTCATTTGATTCCATGATATTAGATATGTCGGTCATTCTTGATAATTTTTTGACCATTTATTTCATCTAAAAAATATTAGAAACGAAATGCCACGTGTAAAAAAAACTTGACCTGTTTTAACAGGATGGAAAGCAAACTCAGTACCCAATCATTTAATCAGTTGAAAATGTAAAAAATATAGGAAATCATTGAGGCCGAATACATCAATTAAAACCAGCTATCACTCGTATTACCATTCTTAATAAGAATTATGACAAACCATCAAACATCCTTAAGAAATCTCTTTAAGTTTTTACATTGAATACTTTTCGATAAACAAGAAACTTGAAGACCAAATCTCGATGCAACATTTAGATCCAAGAAAAGGGCAGGAACAAAAAAGCGTGATAAAGTGAAAACATTAGTGAGCACATAGAATGAGATATTGAAAATGTGTACCTATAGGCTTCACTGCTTCAACGAACACATGTTCATGTTGGACATTAGACTCGAAGAAGAATCAATAAAATAACGAGACTAAAATAAACCTTTCATGTGTAGCTCAATTGGTAAACAAGCCGGTGATTTTGTCCAAATACAAGAAATGTCCAATGTTCGATTCTGACCCCCTCGCAAGACTTAGCCATTGAGTGAGACAAAAATATACCATCACATTGGTGCCCATAGAGACATGTTCCATGTGAGGTCGGTTAGGGTTGTCAACAATCAATTCTTTTGTTGAAAACAAAATGGGAGGTAGAACCACTATCGTCTGACATCATAAGTTGAATGTTTGATTAGAAGTGTTGAACTCAACAACAATAAAAGTGCGTTTGGTGTCGAGACAAGATAAGACATAACATAACAGGACATGACACATATTCAACGCTTGGTGAGACAGAACTAGACAAAACAGAACAAGTAAAATGACCAATTTACTCTTGATAAGTTGTTTATATATTTTAATTAATTTATGTAATTTATTAAATTATAATAAAATAATTATCTTTTATAACAAAATATATCATTATAAAGTTTTCGTCAAAACAATTAAAATAACATTAAAATAAAAGGTTAACATGGTTTCCAATTTTTATTTCTATCATTTTTCTACATTATTTTTTATTACCAATATATAATAAATTACATAAATTAATAAAAATATATAAATCGTATAAAAATAATATTTTGAACACAATAAAATAAAACTTTAAAAAACATAAAATCCAATTAATAATATTTAAAAGATGAATCTATACTATATTATAAAGCATTTGGCTAAAACTCTTAAAAACTCTTAAACTCTTAAAACTCTTAAATCCGTTCATCCCTAAACAATTTCATCCCTATCCGATTTCATCCCATAACTGAATTCGTATAACTAACTGCAGATAAACACAATCAAATACAGGATAAACATCTCATTTTAAATAT